AATTCTTTTACAAGATTTCTTTTCAGTTGACGAGATTGCTCATGGTTAAGCAGAATCCCGTATAAGGTAGAAAGAGAAAGAGTGGACATGTCATTTGACATCTTGAGACACATGGAAAAGGTGTCCCAAGACTCAGGAAGGCATTCTAGAAACTTAGTCAAGGTTTCARAATTAGAATATTCCCTGCCGACAGCCCTAAGATCAATAAGAAGGCAGTTAAATCTTTGATGTACTTCAGACAGCGTCTCAGACTTTCCGCAGAGAAAGGTTCCATACTGTCTTATTAGATTGATCTTTCTAGTCTCCTGAACCTGAGTGGTTCCTTCATATTGGACACAGAGTCTATCCCATACGGATTTAGAAGATTTGAGTTTCATCACTGAGTGATAAATCTCATCAGGAAGAGACATAGCTATTATAGACCGAGCACGCGTGTCTATAGCTATCTTCTTCTTGTCCTCATCGCTCCACTGATGTGGAAGCTTTGGAATCTGCCGTTCAGGAATCGCGGCAGTTGTAGCTGTTGCTGGAACAGCCGAAGCAATAGCAAATGGAATATATGGTCCATTTTCTATGTAATGTGGAATTTCAGGATCCACACCTTCCAGAAAGAGGGACAGCAGGTTCTTCCAGAGACAAAAGTTGTCACGGACAAACCGGGGAGGTTTGGCAAGAGAGCCATTATCTTATGTGTGTATGTTTGCAATTTGTAAAGCCATTTGTAAGCAGTAAAGTTATCTAAGAAGAGATAAACTAGTATAGAAAAATAGCTAAACACAAGGAAAGAAAGAAAACCTGAAGGTCTCATCATCATTCGCTGAAGTTTGAGCAGTCTTCACACATATGTAGACAAACTTGTATTCACTGAATACCGCTTCAAATCACGTACTCGTCAGTCTCTAATCTTCAGTTTCAGTCTTCGACGGTTGCTGAAAGTTCTTTGGTGTGAGTGTTGTCTTCTTGAAGTATTGTGGTCTCTGATAGATTTACAATGCAAGTTTTCTTCAGCGATCACTGAACAGACTCAATGAAGATCGCTGGAACTGAAAATATAGAAACATAAATACAACGTATAAGTGAAAAGGGATTATCATCAAATCACTGAGAGAGAGGATCAACACTAGGTGTTGATCTCAACTATCAGATTTGATGATAATACATATAGCATCAGATCATAAACTTAGAGAGGAAAGTTCAAGTTTTCCTTATATTACAAGAAMCATATCTGATGAATGAATATCTCATCTTAGTATCATTCGAACTTGTTGTTTTAGGTCTCAGATTGGATCCTTTGTATAAGTTAAATGTTTGAACAAATTGTCATCTAATCATAAAATTCAATTAGTTTTATTGAAAGAATGATAGAGCTTAAACTGTTCTAAATTATACCAAGTTATCTTCTATATCTGATCATCTTGAAAAGTCTTACCCAGGATAGCCATGACTTTCGTTGAAAAAGGGTAGGCGACTTCGTTTGAGGACCTCCTTCCCTTCTGCCCCGATGAAAGTTTCAGGCAAAGGCAGAGGATCTGACATCAGAACATGACTGAAAGCCCTCAATGCTTCTTCATTCCAGGTGTATAACTTGTATTTCAGATTTACAAAAAGATAGGATTTTTACTTGTGAAAGTCTTATAACTATCTGTAACGATCCAAGATCAAGATGTTTTTAACAAAACTGAAGACTAGTTGAAATAAAGTCAAGATCATCACCAAGGCAGATTGGTTTGTCATCTAGCCAAAAAATAAAGTCAATACAATATAAAGTCAACTAGTAGTCTGGCAAATACTAGTACTGGCAAGCCGACTCTTGAAATACAAACTTGGCTAGCAAGTTTGGGTCACCAACTCTCTTACTCCCTTCTTTGTATGAGAACATGTACAACATGTCAGGCAAAGTAAGTACAAAAACATTATTGATTAGTGTCATACTTACTTTACTGTTCCATCGGCATACAGAAAAATGTGATAAGATACAGAGCGTCTATAGCAAACTCAAAGGCTGAAACGAAGAGTACTAAAATGCATGGATCAACTAATCAGAATAAGACACACATTAAAGTTGGACAATATGGATTTAATGCAATGATAGCTATAAAAAGCCACCCTTATCATTCAATACAACTCACCTTTTTTGAAAGAACATCTTCGTGAGTGTTTCTTAAACAAAATCGATGTCATCCTCTAATAAAACTTCCTTTTTTTGGATCTAAAATAGTACTTTATTCCCCCCCCCCCCCTTCAATTTTACCAAATTTGTCACAATCAGATTGTTTAGGATCACGATTTTTACCTTCTTAGTTTCTGCAACAAGTATGTAATTCTTGTTTTGTACAAAATATAAAATATAGAATTAAAAATTGAAAATTGAAAATATGTTGTGCTTAAATTCAACCCCCTCTAAAACACTTATTGTCTAAGTCATCACCTTTAGAACCAATAAATGGTGTCAGAGCAGTTTGTTTGAACTCATAAACAAAATTCGAATGACTTCCGCAACCAATTATAATGACTCTGCATCCAAACCTCTACGTTTTCAAAAAGTTAAATTCCTGCTGTGGAAAACTAGTGATAAATTCTCTCTATCCAAACAAGTACCAAAGAGAAACAAAGTAAAAATGATGGGCGAAATGCAACATCTAATCCGATCTCCTAATGCACTAGTTCGAAATTGTCATCTAGCCCTCATTCGAAATCGTAAGTGAATGGTTCTATCTTCATATGCTCTATGGAACCACTGTTTGTCATCATCGGAGCCTTAGATTTGAATCGTCAGAGCCCAGTACGTACTCATGGGGTTTTGAATTTATGTAATTGAAGGTCAGATGAGGATGGTTTTGATCGATTAAAAGGGGTCTTGTTTACACGGTTAAAACCAAATGGTTTAAAATTGAAAAGAAATATCCACAACTAAACTTGTGTAAACATGTTTTCAACTTTAAAGAACTTTTTTCACATGGTTTATTAACAACACTGTGTAAAATACTTATTTTTTCTAAACAGTAATTCGTCAATAATTACCCAAGGATTACCTAGGTTCCTAATCAGTTTTATGTTCCTAACAAAACTTGTCCCATGTTATATAATATAGTTATTTTAAATATTTAATTAGGGATGCACAACATGATTTTGTGTAAATCACAAGGACTAAACGTGTGATTCACTCTATTTCAAAACATCAAATATATTTTAATGTCTAAATAGACTACTTCATAAAACTTAAGTTTATAAGATCAAACAATCGTGCATTCTATGAAAATGTGTTACAATATGATAATAGAGCGCTCTTGGTCTAATAAATATCGTGAACACATTTTCATGAGATGTGTTTTATAAGACACTTTTTCAAATAATGTATTACAAAAAAAAGACTAATATTATATTTCAAAAAGAATAAATTATACTGGTGGTCCCTGTGGTATACTCAAAATTTTGGATTCGTTTCCTAAAATAAACTATTTACAGGAATGGTCCCTAACTTTTTCATTTTATAACACTTAAAATCTCTAGAGTTAATTACATCAGTCAACAACCGTTATAAGAGACTAATCAATCTTTGAGTAAATATTGGGGACCAAAAGTGTAGTTAGTCTAAATTATTTGTGAACCTCGTCCTTTAAAAAAATTGTACTACATCTTCTTCTTCTTTTTTAATTTTTGTGAATCATCTTTTTTTTTAAATTCTTTAAAAAAAATACTAGTTGTATACCCGCGTAATGCAGCAGGATTTAAAAGATTTATTATGATTTACTTAATTTTGAAATATCAAATTCTTTCAAAATGTTATAAGCTTACAACATTCGTACGTACATTAGATTCAAATAACCATCCATGTGAAATGCTAGTATTAGAAGCTTCTACAATCATCTGTGTAAGAAATAAGATTCAAAGTGACCATCCGATCCCATTGAACAATAAATCTTATCAACCATCCTTTCTAAAGCAATATCTCCAAAATAAGTTACAAGCATTGAAGGTACGGTACAAGCATCCATGGTGCCAGAACCTTCCTCGACCAATCTTTCCAAGATCTCAACGACCTGCAAATAGAGTAAAAGGTTAGATACAGTGAGACAATGCTCAAATGGCATACTTCTAGCATATGCAAGACATTTCATTTAGTACTGCGACATTCAGATCCATAAATTCCACATACTAATTAATAAAAATAATGTATGGTGAAATTGGATCGCATGAAATTGGATCGCTTTTGCTGTCAAACTATGTGCCCCAAATTGATGAAGTTTTAAATCACTCAACAGACATATAAGTCAACTGTCTATCTGAACATACAAGAAAAAGGGTTGATTTAATGAAAGAAGGCAATTCATTAAAAAATATCAACAACTTCACAAGAAATTGCAAATTAAAAGATAAACAACATTACAAAATTTAGAGAGAACGACACTTTTGGTCCTCAAAGTTTACTCAAAGACTGATTACGATTGCTAACTGACAGAGTTAACTCTAGAGACACCAAGTATTGTAAAACGAAAAAGTTAGAGACCATCAGTGTAGATAGTGATCCAAAATATGAGCATATCACAGGGACCACTAGTATAATTCACTCTTTTTGAAAGATGTCCTAAAAACATGTTTCTAATGACATGGTCATAATTGAATAGAAGCTAGATTTCACTAAATTTGTTGCTAATTTGCATGTGTATATACAATTACTCGTATATTCAACATAAAAAAACAGAAAACTCAAACAAATAATACAGTGGAAAAAAGCTAAAAAGACGGTTAAAAAACTGATACAATTCTTATTTTCAATTTCTGAAATGGATAGGATTGGGAGCTGAAAAAGACAAGGACCGAACTCCCTCTTAAGGGTTGTTCGGTTCGTTTTCTATTAAGACCTATATGGATAAAGATGTCTGTATTGATAAAATTGTCTGTATGATAACAGATAAGTTGTTCGGTTGTCGTGCTTAATAAACCGTCTGAATGTCTGAAATGACCATTTTACCCCAATCTATATTTTTGTAGTGTCTAATAAAAAAAAACAAAATTTTTGAAACCTAATAGAAGGCAACTGGTGCTGTTGAGAGGTCTGGTCTCTACATCGACAAAATTCTTGAAACCTATTGTTGTTGGTGGCAAAGAGGATGTTGCATGACTGGGAGGTGGTTATGATGGTGAGAGGGCTGGTTGCTTCAAAGGTGGTTGAGACATAACCGACACGGTGAAAAACTGGTGAGGATGCACAGAGGAGAGAGTGATGCACACTAGAGGAACCGGCATGGTTTTGATTTCACCATCACCGTCATGGGAGAGAGAGCGATGCGCAATGGAGGAACCGGCACGGTTTTGATTTCGCCATCACCGTCGTGAGAGAGATAGAGAGCGATGCACAGTGGAGGAACCAACACAGTTTTGATTTCACCATCACCGTCATGGGAGAGAAAGCGATGCACAAGAAAGAGAGAGAGAGAGAGAGAGAGAGAGTGAGTGAGGTCGATGATGAAGCAATTCTACACAAGGGAAAGGAGGAAAAGAGAGTGAGGTTGAAGATGTCGTGGGAGAGAGCGATTTCCGATTTGATTTCAGCATCTAGATAGGTATGGTTCAATTTTGGAGGGAAAGGGTAAAAAGGGAATAAATGGCTTAATGAAGGGCCAAGTACAAAGGACATCAATTTTCTAGCTGAACAATTCAACTCATGGCTAGTCGAATAAGCTCATACCAAACAACTGGATATGGCTATGCAAATAAACCATATCCTTTATATAACCCATTAACTGGATATGGCTATGCAAATAAACCATATCCTTTATATAACCCATTAAGCTCTGCTTCGCTGTCTTAATAGGAACCACTTCTACAAAAAATTACTTTCATAAATAGGCATCACCAAGGAAGATATTTGTTGGTAAAATTCAGCAAACTGGCAAACCCAGAATAAGTGACCAAATATCGCCATAATACTAAGAAATTAGCAACAAAAAGAATATAACTAATGTGTTAGTCGAGTACTACCATTACCAACATATTAGAGATGGATTAGTTGCAGACTATTAACCATTTGCAATCTCTATTTCGGGTGATCAAAAAGATGATACATTGATCAAGACTACATCAAATGGTTCTCTAGGTCGTTTTCGATTTTCACTTTTTATCCATAATGGTGTTGTTCAAAAGAGATTTAGAAGAAACAACCTCCAAATGTTTCTCATTTGGTTCATTTGTACACTGCAACAAGCTCGAACTAAAAATACCATATCCATAAACAATCATTAGAGAATTTACATCCCACGCTAATACGTTTTATCAAAAGCAACTGCCTAAAACATGACAACTTCATCTAAAAATGAGGTTCTTTACATACCCCTTGCAACAAAAATTAAACCAAGTAGTTGTAAAGGAGTCTAAGCACGCTCCCCACGAATACGCCTGGCCAATTGGATATCTTTGGGCATTATGGTCACCCTCTTGGCATGGATGGCACACAAGTTAGTGTCCTCAAAGAGACCAACAAGGTATGCTTCTGCAGCCTCTTGAAGAGCCAACACAGCGTGACTCTGGAACCTTAGGTCAGTCTGCAACACCAACAAAATAGTTTACAACATTTGTTAGAGGTGGATTGTTTCAATAATTCATGTTTTGAAGATCAATCGGATATAGGGTAATAACCTTGAAATCCTGTGCGATTTCACGAACAAGCCTCTGGAATGGCAGCTTACGGATGAGAAGCTCTGTACTCTTCTGGTACTTACGGATCTCACTGTATTCATAGGCAATCAATTTAGCCAACCGTTATTTAACCAACCGTTAACGACATGAACTAGTCTTAACATTTAGGGGTTTTTTAGTCGGAACAATATATTCTACTAATTTGAATGTGCAATCATATGGAAAGCTCGAAAACGCCAGAGGTTGAAAAGGAATAAACACTCAAAAATACTAATCTGACCTATCTATCGACAACAAGAATTCAAAGATAATACGGCTTCAACAGTCAAGTGAGAGGCTTACCGAAGAGCGACGGTTCCAGGACGGTATCGATGAGGCTTCTTGACTCCTCCGGTTGTAGGAGCAGATTTCCTGGCGGCCTGTGAAGATTTTAACACGAATGGCAAATAATTAGCAATAAAATTTGAGAAAAACTACTCGATTGACATCAAAAGGAAAAACTACGCCTCGAGATTTGAATATATGATTCGGAAACACATACCTTGGTGGCGAGTTGTTTCCTGGGAGCTTTTCCACCAGTCGACTTACGAGCGGTTTGTTTTGTACGGGCCATTGCGGTTCAGATTCAAACAAAAACTGAAAGATAACAAAGATGCATGTATAGAACTGAAATCAACAGATTTAAACAACGTACAGCACCATCACAAAAGGAACGAGAAAAAACTGATACCTGACCAAGGATGAATATGCAGATCGTCAAGATTTGGGGATTAAGGTTTCAAATTGGGGAAAAAGCTCCCGCGATGCCAAATGCGTGGGTATATATATAAAGGGGGAAAACGTAGACCCCAAGTTTACAACGGATTCATTTAGTGTTTGAAGTGGTCACGGATCCTTGAGCTTTTTGCCGATTGGTTGCTTTTGGGCACGTGAACAATTTTGATTGGGTAAAACTATTTGACACGGATTGCTGAATTTTGTGTTTCTTTTGGCTACGTCTGAACCTAACTCGGTCGTTTGTGTTTCTTTAGAATCGGTGGCTTTCTGAGTTGGAAAGCGGCATGACCCGGCTGAGTCTATTCGTGCAAAATTCGTTACAAGTTGATTTGTGTTAAACATTGATGAAAATTTTAAGAAAACCAAATAAAAAAATTTATTTTGAATGGTTTAGTATTTTAACTTGAAGGTATTCGTGTAACGTAGCAAGATACATCTTGATTTTAATATTTTATTTTATTTTTTATCTCAGTTGATGTTATAATATAGTCTTATATGATTTTGAAAAAAACGATGATGTTATAATATGGTCTTAAGGGTTGTTTGTTTATCTATTAATAGTTTCATTAAGAAACAACATCTGAATCGTTAAAAAGTGAATTTTGTTTGGCAAAAAAAACGTTTGTCTCTTAATGGTTCTAAAATCAATGATTTTGTACCATGACTCTTTTTAATCATTCAGAACTCTAATTTCATTATAAATAATTATGGGGAGTGCTAATGGCACCCCCTTAGTAGGAATGTTAAATGTTTGAAAATTGTGCATCCTTTAAAATATATAAAACATCAAATCGATTTAGAAATATATTATATTTAACTATTATTATTATTATTATTATTTAATATATATACTAATAGTATACCCGTGCAATGCGGCGGGAGCTGTAAATGTAAACAATTTTGAAGCTTTGGTGGTTTTGTTTTAGGAGATTTTAAGGATGATATATTTACACTTAGGAGGTCGTTTACCTAAATGCTTACCGCTAAGATTTAACAATATACCTTACTTTACCGGGTAAGATTGTAATCCATCAAAATGATATCATATGTAACAATTTACCAGTTAAACATTTACCAAGTAAACTCTCCATCTTTACCAAATCGTCACTCTCACTTACCAAGTAAGAATCTACGTCTTTATCGTCACTTTTACTGGATAAGACTCTTCATCTTTCTTATCATTCTTATCGGATAAGACTCTCTATCTTTATCACTCTTATCGGGTAAGATTATCGGTCCTTGTAATGTTCATTCGGTAAAGTAAATGATATAGTAAACGTTTATCAGGTAAACGTTTAGTAAATGACCCCTTAAGCTTTACATATTATTAATACATTTTCAATAAATAAGAGCTATGGTTTTAATTGTAGCGGATTGATGAAAAATTGTTAAAATAAAATATTATTTAAACAAATCCAATCTAATCTAATTATTATTAAAGTACAAAAAGAACTTATTTTATGTAATATTTGTATTTTGCATCTTGGTGTATAAAAATGGTTGAAATTATTTGGTGATTGATCAAAATATTGGATAAAACCAAACCAATTCAATCCTTCATTGTTACTGATCGACTGTGTAAATCTAGTTGTATTATGTTGATTATAAAAATTCATATACAATAAACAACTAAATTAGATCAACTAATCTAAGGGGTGGTTTTTTTTTGGAAAAGAGGATAGAACCTCCGGAAATTTTTTATTGAATTGAAAAGGAATTACAAGAAAGAATTGGACATACCCATTTTTACAAGATCAAAAATAAAAGCATCTTCCTAAAAAATGTTTAGGAAATACAATTAATAGAGGCCTATTCAAGATGCCACTATTTTCAAAACCAATCCATTTCAAGGGGGAACCAGCCCAAGACACCATCATTGTGGTTTTGGAGTATACTTGGCAAGTTGAAACCCAAGCCAAATGTTAGTCAGTTTAATTTCCTCAAAACAGAAATCCAAGCCTTATCATTATGGTAAAAAGCCACTGTTGTGCATAGAACCTCCAATTCTTGTCCATACACTTGTGTATCAGTAGCCAGAGATTCAAAGATTATATTTTCCCTTTTAGCTTTGCAGACTTCAACTTCCAAACTCCAACCAGATACAGACCAATAACTAAACTTCCAAAGAAATTGTAGCATTTTTTCTGTTAACTTTGCTGCCAGTTTGGGCATAAAGCAGAGCTTAAGCATATTGGAACCCATAGAGTCAGACCAGTCCCAAAAGTCATGTAATCCTCCACAAACCAGAAACCAAGATTATAAAAAAAAAAACGCAAGAGAAAAGAGGATATCATTTGAACAAGGCCTTTGCATACTCTATACATTAAATCATAAATTGTCAGTGAAAGAGAGATTAAAGATACCTGGTTGACAAGTACAACACGCTGATCATGAAGCTGCTCGATGATCATATCACAAACTGGTGTCTTCCCTGAAGTAGCACCTCCAGCAACCCCTGTATATGACTTAAGAATGAGAACACACCATCATAAAGAATAACATGTATGAAAATCTCAAACCTTCCAAAGAGAAAAGGAGAATGTACATGACTTAAGAATCTTGTGTCATTGCCAATGGTCCAATAGTAATTGTATTTTAGGAAACATGACTTAAGAAAGCCAAGTGCTTGTTTACCTAAATGCTTACTCAATAAGCACTTACATTTATGAGTCAACACTACAATTCAATTTACCGGGTAAGATTGTAGTACATTAAAAAAATATTCTATGCAACAATTTACCCAGTAAGCATTTACCCGGATAAGAGTCGTCACCCCCACTTACCGAGTAGGATTCTCTATCTTTATCATTGCTCTTATCAGGTAACATTTTTGACCCTTACCATGTTCATTCGGTAAAGAAAATTACCCAGTAAACACTTATCAGGCAAGCATTTAGTAAACAGCCCCTAATTCCTTTTCATGAGTTTCAGACATTATCAACTTGTAATCTTCGTGATCCTAAGATATCTACACTAATTGCTACCAGAATAAAGGAATTTCATAACCTTAATATGCCTGGCTCCAAGAATGTGTTGTTATGGCCAAGAATGAGGTATTCTTCTTTCTTGATATAAATAACTTACAAAATTTAATAATAGTATTTGGCCAACCATTTCACATACCTGAAGCTTGGGAGCCGATCCGCTCCACTGGCATTACAGACCAGTTGTTGGTCCCAAAGAGTCTACAAGAATACTAAACAGTTTGTAGAAGGGGGGGGGATGAATACAAACACAATTTTCAAATTTAAAATATATATTGATAGAGAAGATCAATACAGATTTTACAAGATTGTTT